CACAGCAAACCGAGTCTACCGCCGAACCCCGGACCTCGACGCTAACCCGCTCCAGAAGGAGCGTCGAGTTCCAAATCAATTTTTCCATAAGAAATAACTGAAAACTGATTAATCCCTTCTCGACCACCAAATGTTTATCCTAACCTTGCCTTTTTATACAAAACATTACACAGAAATTTCAAAGTAAATAAGTTCGGAGTTAAATATCATCATTTAAATAAGAAACACAACATTTAAAATGTTTTTAACACCTAGAGTATGGCCCATACCTTGAGACTGATGAGGATCTGGATCTGTGGACACGGACGTGGAGAGGAGGGATGAAGAGAGAGTCGTTGTTTGGAAGGGGAATCCCCTTCCACAAAATCAACTGGCAGCTGCTTCCCGGGAGTTTTTATCCCATTTTACCTTTTTCCCTAGGATCTGGCTGGTTTTCTCTTAAAACAAAACAAAACAAAACACCAGTCTGTCTAATGTGGTCTGCTGTTGGTGTTATATCGAATACATGATGATTCTTTTCAAAAAACTCTTAGGACTCATGTTTTTTAAAAATCTAAAAACAGTACAAAAAGCCCCCAAAACTAAGACAATTATAGCAAAACGCTTGGAACACAGCTGCAAAATGTTTAAACAACACGTACTAACAACGCCAACTAACACTGAGTGATCGCAACACGAACTGCTTTCGTGTATAAGAATCACGTGCGTCGGGTCGAGTCCGCTGTCTGGGTCGAGATGCAGACAGGGTTCTCGAGACTTTACGCGGGAATCCGATGATGTTAGAACTGAGGCGGTTGAGTACCAGGGCTCTGAGCTCTGTTCCCTTTCCTGTCCACTGTTTCTACATGAATCGGCCCAGCATAAGCTCATAGGACATGCGCATAAGAGATACGCTCCTCCGTTTAACCATGCGACTCCCACAGTGACCAGGAGAGGTGGCAAGGGAAGGCGTTCAAAGTGGTATTTATGAGGACCTCCACCTGGCTACCGTGGAGTCCATGACTACTCATGGTGACCCCGCGCGTGCGCAACAGCACTGTCCTCCACTGGCTTTTCCCTGGCTGAGTTTTCAGAAGTCGACCGATTGCCAGGCCGGAGTAGACTAGAACTTCCTGCCTTGGGACTAGCAGCGGAGAGGTTTAACCTTCTGCACCTGGTTACTTTCCCATTACCTGAGTTAAAGCATCTCACCTTTCCAAAATTAACACATTAACTTTTGAGTTTGTTGTTGATCTGCCCGAGTGACAAGTTTTACCTCTGTAGGTTGCAAACCCCTGGAAACAAGGACCCTTTCTTATACGTTTGGTCCCCCTCACCACCAAGCCCACCCAGACGCCATGCAGGTGTAGAACATTTCGCTCATCACAGAAAGTGCTATTGGGAAGTGCCGCACCAGAGGCCGGCGGGAGCCAATGGGTGACAAGCTAACATAATAACCTCCCTCAAAGCCGGAGTTTAATAATTTTTGAACGAACAAATGAATGAATGAAGCATAACAGAAGTGCTTTCGTGATATATACTGCACTGATTACGGTGATCAGTCCTAAGTGGGCTTAGTGCTTTTCCAAGATAGCTGACTTCATTTTTCAAAAGGAACCAGCATAAAGAGAAAAACCAATTCATCTCCAAAAGATGTCAAGTTACAGTTTTTCATGTCATTGTAAGTCATAGCAAGAATTTAGAGTGGGTTGCTCAGCGATTATTGCTATTTAGCAGTAATTGGAAAATTAGGTGAGAGTCATATTTGTAACAATATGGTATTTAAATAGTCAAAACCAATTCTACTTGGATAATAAATTGAATCATATTTACCAATGATATGTTTCATTGATTTTGCACCATTTTTCACAAAGCTTAAAGCACGTATCAGTTTTTACTTTAGTTAATATCACATCATCTCTTTATACCAGGAGACTGACATTGCCTCTTTTAGAAAGATGACAAAGAAATCCGGGGCTGGATGTGTTAAGGTTTTTATTAACTAGGATGCTTCCCCTGTTTCTGCCTGGCCTATGTTCAAACTCTGAGGACCCTTGAATAAAAAAGGAAGTATAATAGAGATGCCAGAAAGACTTGCTAAAATCTCAAAGAGTCAACTGAGCCAAACTCACTGGCACCGAGTTAATAATGCTGACCTATTCAAACCACTATGTCAGCAGGGCTCTTTCAGAAAGTGCAGAGGCTCTTAAATCGTGAGATGCCCTGATCAGCTTCTCACTCAGCATGTTGCCATTTTGTGGACTCACGACAAAGGCTGTGGCACATGTAACCCCGTCCGGCCCTTCCTTTAGCCAATCTTACCTGTGGGAGTGTCTGTTCTCAAAGCTCTTGAGACTTACTGGGAACTCAGAGCGACAATTACCACATGTGGTGATCAGTGACGTGATGGGGGCAAGCAGAGCTGGCTATGGGAACCCTATTGTTCAGCGTGAGGACTCAGGGAAGATTTTCCAGGAAATAGGAGCCTAGATAGGGTGATCCAGGTGATGAGAGAGGGATGGAGATTGTGTGTGAGAGAGAGCATGGCTTGATTTAAGATCTACACCTTCTGTCTTTGAAGCAGAGTTTTCAGGGGGCTGAGATGTGGATGGAGGGGGGAAGATGGAATGTGATTCTTGAGCTGTGCGGTCCAATATAGTAGCTATTAAATGTAATTTTAAATTAATTAAATTAAACATTCAATGCCTCAATTGTACTAGCCATATTTTAAGTGTTCAGTAGGCCCTTGTAACTTAAGGTGACCAGATTTAAAGCGGGACACCACTGATGGGGGGGGGTGGTTCTTGATTAAAATGTTGGTCTATATGGACCAAATAGACCATTCCCTAGCTTGTCATGCGTTTTTTCCAAAAATCAGGTCTTTTATAAAACATCAAAAATCAGGACGGCTGGTCACCTTATTGTAGCTCCTATATGTGACCATGTGGATATCAAATATATCATTGCAAAAAGTTCTATTGCTGACTCCTGCTTTAGAGGCAGGGACCGGTGGGCAGGAACTTTGAATAGTATGCCAAGGTGTTTAGGGTTTAATCTGAGGGTGACAGGATGCCATCAAACTGTTTTCAGCAGATCGATCACATGATCAAATGTCTGTATTAGAAAAGTCACTCTGTGGTGCACAGAGAGAGGGACAACTAGGAGACAGAGTAATAAAGAAACTATTGTACTAACCAAACCAAAAGTCATGAAGGTCCCCCAGGTGTAGGAGAGAATTTTGAAGACTTAAAAAGTATTAAGAAATAAAATCAAGATGATTTACCATTTAGATGCGAAGAGTGTGGGAGACTGAGGGTAACGTTGATACCTGACTTGGACAGTTAATGAATGATAGCAACACTAACTTATACAAGGAACAAGAGGAGGACTAGGTCCTATTCTAATAGGAATAGAAGAGAGAGGTGCAACTCAAGTGTGACATGTGTACTGAGTCACCTAAGTGAGCTTCCACGGGGCAGGCAGACAGTCAGGTCCAGAATGTAGGCAGCAACTTGAGGCTGGAGTTAACGATGTTAAAGCCATCCCCATACTGATGACAGTTGAAGCTATTAAGGTGGGTGAGCTCCTCTATGGAGAAAACGGGGAGTGAGAGGCTAAGAACCCACAGAACACTGGCAGTAATGAGATTAGCCTAAAAGGAAGAGCCCATGGAAGCAGCCAGGAGCTGAACCTAGGAGACTCCAGTGGAATCAAAGGAAGAGTGCTGTAAGAGAAGGAAGTGGTCGTTTACGTCAGCTGCTGCAGCGAGGGCAATAACGGATGAAAGGGATTAATAGGATTTCCCCCGAGCACTGTCGTTGGTGACTTTAGTGAACGTACTTCCAGAGGCTTATTGTGGATTGCAGGGGGTTGAAGAGTAAATAGGACTTTTGAGGAAGAGGAAGCAGCAAATACAGAACTCTTAGAAGGACCTTGATGGTGTAGGGATTATAGATGGTGGGCGACAGATGTTCTTTCTACCGTCACTCTACCATTTTCTTTTCCTTTTAATAATTTTTATTGTAAATTAGGTGGGAGTTTACATTTTGGATCATCAACTTTGTGTTCAACAGTTTGAACTACTAGCCAACCCCCCCATAGTTTGCCCTTCATCCACTCCTTAATGTCCCTTCTCCCTCTAGGTACTACTCCCATCTTCCCCTTCACCAAGTTAGTGTTCCGCAACAGTCTAAGCCAGTGCTTCTCAGCCTTCCTCACGCCGCCACCCTGTAACAGTTCCTCAGGTTGTAGTGACCCGCCAACCCTGAAATTATTGTCGTTGCTACTTCATCACTGTCATTTTGCTACTATTATGAATCTTAATGTAAATATCGGGTATTCAGGATGTATTTTTATTGTTATAAATTGAGCATAATTAAACATAATTAAAGCATAGTGATTAATCACAAAACAATATTGTAATTATATATTGTGAAATATTTATGTGTTTTCCGATGGTCTTAGGCGACCCCTGTGAAAGAGTCGTTCGACCTCCAAAGAGGTCGCGACCCACAGGTTGGGAACTATTGGTCGAATCCATCACTTCATCTCTTCTCTCCCCACCCCCCTCCTCTTGGCAATAGCCAAAATGTGTTCCTTTTAGTATGAGAATTTTTATCTTGTTTTATTTCCCCCCACTCTACCATTTTCAAATGCCTCTGCCATATTTGTAAACTGTCTTATTTTCTCAATTCTGCTAAGCCTGTTGAAAATAGAGATGGGGTGTTCCACATTTTAGATCTTCATAGTTCCTAGTTTAGATCTTGCATTTAGATGGTGTTCTGCTGATATCTATTTAATGGCTTTCAAATGTCAGGATCCTACAGGATCTGTGTAAATATAAAGCATGCATTCTTTTCATGCGTTCTCTTATGCAGTTTCCTTTACTTTGACGAAAAGGTCTCATTTCTAGAGGAGAAACAGATGAAGACAAGCCCATGTCTTGTGTCTTCAGAAAATTTTATGACTTAAGGGGGGAAACTCTTCCCAAATGGAAAAAAGAAAACATAGATAGAAGTGTCTTAATAAAAAATTTGTTATGAATTTATTATGATTATTTACATCACTTCCTTGGTAAGCAAATAGATGTAAACTTTTATTGTTGGTATTATTTCACATATGATTTATCCAAATTTAGAATTAGTACTGTCATTTGAGTGTACAAGTAGTGAGAAAATTTTATTATATTCACAGAATATACATACACGTGCATTCAAAAAGGCGTCTTTCTCTTCAAGCCAGAGGGATCGACACTGTCCCGTTGGCGCGGTTTCTGCTTCTCAGGTGGACACCGGAGTCGGCGGCGTCCTCCGCATGCTCTTCGCTCTTCTTTTCCTTCAGGCTGTTGATGAATCTCAGGGTGATTTCATCCCATTCCTCGGGCAATAACATCAACAGAAACCCAATGCAGATAATGATGGTAGCGGCCAGGCGGACAACATTGAATATCACCTCCTGCTTCAGGAGATCCACAGCTATGAATGGAAAACAATCGCATCAGGCACAATCTGAGACGCTGGTGCTAGAGCGTTCTAAAACCCTCCTGAGGCTTTCAATCTGCGCTTTCTTTTCCCACCTCGTCATGCACGCTGGTGCCTTGCTTTACATTCTTTCTACGTCACACTTACCTGTAAGAATCAGCTCACATGTGATATGGGCCAATTCTTTCTTAAAACTCAGTTTTATGGGGGAAGGCAGTCAGCGGGCGGTATGTGAGATGAAAATAATAATGTACAATCTACTGAGGGGTTATGGGGAGGGGAGGCAAAAAAAAGCTGGTACTGAGGGCTCAATAGAAAGTACATGTCTAGAAGAGAATGAAGGCAACATATGTACAAGCATGCCTGATTCAATTGATGTATGGATTGTGATAAGAATTGTAGGACCCCCAATAAAATTATTTAAAAAATAAAATAAAATGCAGATTCTAAAAAAATAATCAGTTTTATAAACATATTCATGTGCCATCTAATTCAATGGTTTAAAGATATTAAAAAGAGTTGTGCTGTCATCACCCAATCAATTTTAGAACATTTTCTTCACTTTTGCATTCATTGCTATTAGTTCCCCCTTCCCCAATCTCCCTTGTCATAACCCTAAGAAATGATTAATCTAGTAACTATATATATTTGTCGATCCTGGGTTTCATATAAAGAAAATCATACAAAAAACCCCAACAACAATAACAAAATAAAACACAGAAAAGCTTCCATCCAAAATAAAGCAGAAAACATGAAAAACTAGAACAAATTAAGACTGGGTCAAAAGGGGAAACAAATGATAAAATGATAAATTTTAATCCAACTATATCTGCATTAGAGCCTGGTGTTGTAGTGGGTTACAAGTTGGGCTACGAATCGCAAGGTCAGCAGTTCAAAACCACCAGTAGCTCCTTGGGAGAAAGATGTGGCTTTTTCTGTTCCCATCAAGAGGTAGTCTAAGAGACCCAGGGGAGGCAGTTCTCCCCTGTTCTAGACGAGGGTCACGATGAGCCGGGATCACCTCCATGGCAGTGAGTGATACCAGCATTGAGTCATTTTCTGATGCACTCTGTGAGGGCAAAGGCTTTTCTCATCCCTGGTCAATGGTCAGAAGGAATTCAATGTATGTTTCATTCCCATGGGTCTCTGCTACGGGATTTTGGGCTTTCACGGTCTTTCATAGCTTTGTAGAAATACGGTGCTCAGAATTTAAGCTCTAATAGCTTTCCCTCCTCTGATCTTGGATTTTGTAATCCTTGACTGATGTGCCTGTGCGGACTTAGCCAACCCCTCACTCAGAGAAGCTAACTGTTGTTGTTTTCCCTCAGTTTTATTGGCACTTCATCTATATATCATAAAATTAAATAATTCAACCATATCAAGAATTATACAATCTTTACCATAATCAATTTTAGAACATTTTCTTTTTTTCCTTGTACTCAGTTATTCATGTAACTTTTTTTCATTTTTGGCAAAAGTATACATAACAAAACCTTCTCCAATTCAACAACTTCTACGTGTATATTTACGTGCCATTGATGGTACTCTTCGTTTTGTACAACCACTATTGACACCCCTCCCCAAATTGTCCCAGTACTATTAAAATGAACACAGTGTTCCCTCAGTACCAGCTCTTCCTCCGTCACCCATGGAAACCAAAGGTCAAGTTTGGTTTTTTTTAAGTAGTTTTCTTGATATAATATTCACATATCATACCCTTCCATAGTTAAACCAGTCCTAGAAAGAGTTGTATATACCTCATCACAATCAGCTCCAATGCTCCCTCCCCACTCCCACATGCACTGGATGGGCTAACACTTCATGACTTCTCCTGTCTTAGTTCTTCATAGTTTCCCCTATCTCTGTCCCCAATTCACCCTGCCCTGTTTGCAACCTATCTTCCAGCCTTTTCCCCCCAATGGGACACACTTGACAATGAAGGGTCTTTGCACATGCTTTTAGTTTTGCATAGAGTGCCCTTCTACCTGCATTTCCCACTGGGTCCAGCTAACCTCCTCTTTCGGGTTTTTTGTTCTGGCTTCTTGTGGGAAGCCTTCGTTGATGCGCCTCCTTTGTGTTCTCTGATCATTCAGTACGCACTTTTGTCAAAGCATTTCTCTCTCTGCATCATAATCACTCAGTCCCTCTCATCTCCCTCTCAGGACTTCATGATCCTGAGGGTAGAGAGAGTGTCTTATTTGGGTTCCATCGCCAATATTTAAATTGTTCCTGGTATATACTAAGTGCTCAGGAATAGTTTGGTGGATCCACAAATGAGTGGACTTCTTTGACAACTCTCCCTCTCCCCCCTTGATGTTTTTCCTTCTGAATATCTTAAAGCCCTAGGAATCTGTCTCACCCAATTTGATATTTAAGAACCATTTCCTCTGTAGAGCTCCAAATTATTTCACGCACCTTGGTCTTCTTGTTCAAACTCAACTGTAAGCTTTTTAAGGGAATGACTGGTTTGAAGGCCTTTTCTTTTTCTTTTGTGTTTCCTGTATTTTCTCCAGCCCTGATACCCATAGTAGGAGCTCCATGAACATTTGTGATTGCTTTGAGGGCGAAAGAGATGGCCCCTCAAGACTTGGAATCCTGGGATTTTAGAGCTGAAGGACTGTACATCATCCCGATGCCACACTTTCATTATCGGCTCCATTGACAGGTTTGACTAGGAAGATTACCCCGGGAAAAATAGCTTCTCCACTTGTCCCTGAAGTGAGTCAAATTGCTTTTCTCCTGATATCTATTCCGGAGGGCCATCTGCTCTGCCCCCGGATGAAGCTTTCGTAGCTCCCCATGGATAGTCTGATGGGGAGCCAGCACCCCGAACATTTCCTACACTTTCATTAGTGACGTTTACGTGAGAGTTCTTTGCTGGGGTGCCTTTTGTTTCCATAGGGCTTCCTCTAAAAATACCACAAAATTAGGTTGTCAGGGAGATTACATGAAACCCAAATAATACATTTGGTATTTAATTCTAAAAGCACGACCAAGTAAAAACAGTGCTTGTCGCTGCAAAATTTAAATCTGTTGCATCGTTATCCTTTTGTCTACCACCTTCATGATATTTAAAAAACATCTTCCTGAGCAAGGGACATAATTCACAATTGCTAGCAGAAACAACCGAATGCATAAAGCAAACATGAGCAGGAGACTTGTCATGGTGGTCCGAATCTGCAGATGTTAAATCATAGCAGTACCTGCATTTCCAGGAATGCTGAGCACTGTCCCAATGGAAATTAGGATTGGGTAGGTCAGCACCACACCGACATTCACCAGGATGTTGAAGGCTGAAAAATAAAGGCGCGATTACAGGACGAAGGGAAAGTGACACACTGGGCACCGGTACTTCTTAACTTAAATCATGAAAGTTTTTGTTAAATTCGGCATCTAAAATTTGCCTGTGTTTTTGATCAATTAATCCTCTCATTGTGGATTAATTTGGCCTTAATTAATCATATTATTTTTTTCTTCTCTGCCATCCTGGCTGCCTGATCTGTTACCAAAGGGTGTTGGAGGCAAATGCAGAAGAAAAAGAATCAATTCAGTACATTGCATATCAGCACTGTAGAAGTAAACTGGTATCAACCAGAGGCTGGACGCTAGTAACTGACTGAAGTGTGGGCTTTATCTCAGTGCCACTTTGCTGTATTGGGTCACATTCCTGGGTAACTGAAGGGCTCTTGTATTGTTACCACAAAGAAGATCTATTCCGTGATGCTGTTTTACCTCCTCTCCTGAACTAAGCATCAGATGGATAAACAAAAGTGTGTTCAATATACTTCATTGAACTCCAAGGACCTTTTGTGCATCCAGATTTGTACACACATTATCCAGGATTAGTCCACAAAATAAACTGAAGGTGTAGGCTGGTGCCTTTCAATGAATACCTTTGGATAACTTCACCTAAATATAAAACTAGTTAAAATACTCAGCTATCCCAGTCAGATGTTTTTTAAAAAATCCAGATTTTCAAACAGAGAAACCATTAAGACATTTCAGTAAATTATAGTTATTCAAGGAATTAGAGAGATAAACAAGTTTTAAAAAATCCTCATTTCATAAGAGAACTCCATGGACATGAGTCAACATGTTGGCCATTTCTTCTTAGAACCAAAGATGGTAACTACAATTCCACTAGGACAGTGTTTACCCTTCCACTTTCATCTATAATGACTGCTTTAATTAAGTCCCCTCGCTTGGCTATCTGGGGTCACTTGTGTTTATTAAGTAGAGATTTTCACAAAGCTTGGGATCATTAATAGTTTTTATACAATAACAATGGCAAGGAGGGCAGAGTCCCTTCCTACATGGATAACTGCATATCTTTCATGGCAGAACAGCAATCTATGGTATAGTGACCTCTTTCCTCAGCCCTTGGGAGTCAAATATGCCACATTCTGAGATATGAGGCATTCATTCAATGTAGCACAGACCTACTGAATTGTTCAGCTATCTTAAAAAAACAACAAATGTTTTTGCAGATTAAAAGGAAGTATTGGTATGTGGGTGAGCCATTGTCACTTAATAAGAATCAGGTGACTTTACTCAAACATATTACCTGTTATCCCTTAGCTCTTTAGCTGAAACACTTACTCTGTAAAAACAATATAAGGAAAAGAATATAATTCAACGTGTAGCATGGGTCTTGCCTAAGTTTCAGAGGGACGCAGACATGCCAGGTGAGTGAATAAAGCCAAAATGAATGTGGGCGAGGGAACACCCAGGTGGCTAGCTCACCTTGAGAGAGGGTACGAGCAAGCTAAACTGGAGCAAAGAAGGCAGCCGCAGTTACAGACCCTGTGGGTTAGTTCAGAACATCGCCTGGCATTGGTCTTTGAGCCGAGCCACGACTAGGAGCTCTGCTTTCTATGGAGAAATGCGGTATAGCAACAACTCTAGAAGAACAGGAGCACAAACCGGAGACTGTAAAATGCGGGGAGCAGCAGCTGGGTCACACAGACAAGAAAGAGCGGTCTCCTCATTTGGTTCCAGAGCCACTTGGCATGGGGAAGACATTGGTTCACCTGAAGGGACCCTGGTGGAGCAGCTGTAGCACTACTGGATAATGCAGTGCCCGCTGGAGCTCAGAGATCATGCCACCTGGTGGAGAACCACAGTGCTTGGGCAGCACGAGTGACGTCCAGCGTGAGCAGGCTCATCTAGGAATGTGAGTTAGGCATGTGAAAAAACATCCACAATGGTGGATGGCTGTTTTGCAGCAAGCTGGAGATTATGCGTGCCCAGCCAGAGGCAAGATCCGTAAAAATCGGGTTGCTATGGTTGGGGGACCTCATCTATTCCCAAGTAGGTCGGATTCATTGCCAGGTGGTGGTGGTGGTTGGCAGGGGCCATCGAGTCAGTGCTGACACACAGAAACCCCCTATACAGCAGAATGACCTACTGCCCACTCTTGTGCCAGCCTCACCGTCTGAGGGTGCTTGAGCCCATTCCTATAGCTGTGGTGTCCATTATCTCATTGAGGGCAGCCTTCCGTTCTGCTGACCTTCTACTTTACCCAGCACGGTGTCCTTCTCCAGGGAATGGCCCCTCTCGATCACATGTCCAAAGGATGAGAGGGGAAGTCTAGTTATCTTTACTTCTAAGGAGCCTTCTGGCTGTACTTCTTCCAACATAGATTAGTAGCTAGTTCTGGCAATTCATGGTATATTCCATATTTTTCACCAACACTATGATTCGATTTTTCTTTAGTCCTCCTTATTTATCATCCCGGTTCACATGTAGATGGAAGCAATTAAAAATACTACCGCTTGGGTCAGGGACCCTGGTGGCCCAGTGGTTTCGTGTTGGGATGTGACCGGTAAGGTTAGCAGTTTGAAGCCACCAGCTACTGCAAGGGAGAGAGCCAGGAGTTCTAGTCCCACTCAGAGTTGCAGCCTCAGACACTCACAGGGCAGTTCCAGTGTGCTCCGAAGGGTCACTGTTGGCAATCACTGCTGGCAGTGAGGTTTTTTGAGTTGTAGCTTGGGTTCAGGCACACCTTACTTTGCAAAAGGACATCTTCGCGCTTTTTAAAAACACTTTAAGAGGTTGTTTGTAGCAGATTTGCCCAAATGGGCAAACCCATTTGAAACCTCTTTGATTTCTTGACGGGTTCCTTTATGGCAGCGGTTCTCAACCTGTGGGTCACGACCCCTTTAGGGGTCGAATGACCCTTTCACAGGAGTTGCCTGATTCATAACAGTAGCAAAATTACAGTTATGAAGTAGCAACGAAAAGAATTTGATGGTTGGGGGGGGGAGTCACCACCACATGAGGAACTGTATTGAAGGGTCACGGCATTAGGAAGGTTGAGAACCACTGCTCTATGGGCACGGAAGTAAAATGGAATCCAGTTGTACCTTCCCGGTAAATAATTTAGGCACTTTTTAACTGAGGTATTGTATCCTTTGGAAACACTGTCATTGATTTCTACATAAGTAAGCAGAAATAGCAAGAGATGATAACCATATAGTTTTGGTTTTTAAAAGTAAAACTCAAGGGGCCAAGACTCAAGTTGACCCTTCTCTTGGGTGTTCCCTGTCTTGGCCCACCCTCCCTTGTAACAGGGTTTGGGTTGGGGTGGGGGGAAAATCAATGCTTATTTGAGAATAAAGATAAGGTCTTTCCCCCCGAGGGCACTGCAGTGTCTTCAATGGCATCCTCTACATCCGGAAATTCAGCTGCGAGTCGGCAGAGCGCCTGCAAGTAGACCATGCAGAGCCAACCGAGGGGGCTGACCTTGGGTGGATGAGAAAAGAGGAGCAGAATGAAATCCTTTGTCTCTGCGTAACCAGAGACGGAGGCAGGCGGCTGCTGTGCTTCGACTGCTTGGTGAGAGACCAGCAGGTTTGTGATTTTTCAGGCATGGCGTGACCCCGCTCTGCAAGTGGAGGCCCCCTGGTGTCCCAGACCAAACAGACAGCCTCAAAGCTACCGGGCAGTGAGAGAGAAGACATTTTAAGAAGTTCCAGAAGTTTCTATTGCTGTTGCCTCCAGAGCCCACTCCAGCAGAGCCCCATTCAGGCCATCATGTTCTTTGTGCCTAGGAGAGTCTGCTTCCTCTGTGCGTTCTCCAGAAAGCCAGAGTGAGCTTCCAAAAAACAAAACCAAACGTGAGCATGTGACTTCCGAGCTTCAGGGTTCTAAAGTGGATTTTACACCTAAAACCTCAACGTGGACTTCCAGACCCTTCACAACCTCACACCAAATACTCCCTAACTGGGAAGAGGTGAGGTCCCAGTCACAATCATAACTCAATCTGTAGGGGCTCTTGGCTCCGGCTGGGCACACGTGATCTCCAGCTTGCTGCAGAATAGCCATCCACCATTATGGATGTCTTCATATGTCTAACACACTTTCCTCCAGAAGCCCGTTCAAGCTGAAGGTCACTCATGCTGGCCAAGCACTGTGATTCTCCAACAAGCAGCATGGCCTCTGAGCTCCAAGGGGTGTCGCCCCTGTCAAGCAGGGACTACAGCTGCTCTTCCAGGTCAAGTGTACTGCAATCCTCGCCATGCCAAAGATGCTCGGCAACAAGAGAGGAGGCGGCCTCTCTCTTGTCCCTGTTACCAGTTTCTGTTCTCCAGGATTTTGCAGTTGCCAGTGCTCCCATTCTTACCTTCCATTTCTAACCCTCACTTCTGCAGAAGGATCAGCTCTCATCTCAGTATGGCTGGGCTGAAAGACAAACGCCAAGCGTTGAACTGATCAATACCTTCTGTAACTATGGCGGCCTGTTGGCCGAAGTTTACCTCCCTCGCACGCTTTCTCAAGTTCGTCTATCTACCTGGGTGTTCCCAAGCCCACAGTTACATTGCCTTCATCCATTTACCTGGTCTGTTCGAATTCCACATAGCTGCATCATGAGGGAACTCTTGAATGTCTCCTTGCCTCTCTTCCCTGCATTTGGCACTTTGACCATTTAGAATGACTTTTTACAATAAAAAAATTAAGATTTGATTATGGCCAGAGAGCATTTTGCAAACTGGGGAAACACAGGGTCAAGAAGTCCTTGGCAAAGTGCTCCAAGGAGTTACAAAAATTCTTGAGGTTAATTAAGATAAAAAAATTTAAAAGCATGTAAGGGGGTCCAGCTAGGGCATTGCTGATTGGTTAGAGTTGACAGAGTTGTACCTGCCAGACTACTAGTTGGTGTCCTTTGTAGGAGTTGACTTCCTTTGCAGAGATGGCTCCAGATGATGGGCTGTGGGCTATTTGAAATGATTTTATAATATAGGTATCAGGAGCTCTAAAGGAGGGGATATTTAGGGCCTTTTATGAGAGTTGGCTGACCACCAAACTCATGTTTTCTGCCACGCTAGACATCTAGACATCTAGACACCTGTAACTTGGTGTCTGACATCAGTAAAACTGAAATAATTTCTAAGAAATGATCAAGTGAGCAAAAGGTGTTATATTTACGTACTCTTTTAAAATACAAAAGCAAAAAAATAAAACATTCTAAAAATAAAATGATTTCAAGTGACAATGCTCAATATTCTTATGCTCAAGGAGAGAAAAAGAGTTTTGATATAGGAAAGGTGTAAGTGTGCCTCATTCAATTTGAGGCCTGAGGTGTGTCTGACCAAAGCCATGGTCTTTTCCATCATTTCATATGCATGTGAGAGCTGAGCAATGAATAAAGAAAGCAAAAGAAAACTGGATGACTTCGAATCATAGTTTTGGTAAAGGATACTGGATATCCCATGGGCTTCCCAGAGAAATAACAAATCAGTCTTAGAAGCAGTATAGACAAAAGGGTGGCCAGCCTTCATCTCATGGACCTTGGACTTGTCCGTGAAGAAGGACATCATGCTTGGCAAAGGAGAAAGTCAGTGACCCATAGAAGTCCCTCAATGAGACGGATCGACAGTGGCTACAACATTGGATTCAAGTGTGACCTTTGTGAGAATGACGCAGGGCTGGCCGTGGTTTTTTGGTGTTTTCTGTTGTACACACGGTCACTAAGATTTGGAACCAACAATGATTTGGCACCTAATGAAAACCGACATTTAATGTTAGTTTAGTCTAACCAGTATTACATGTCTAGGACTAAAGTTTAACCATAACTGGTTCTCTTTAATGTCTACATGAGCAAGGGAAGCAAAATCCCATTTTTTCTGTCTAACGGTTCACATCTAGGTCAAAGGTACAGTGGAAATTTTTACAAATGACATGCTACACTGTCGGGCAGAAAGTGCATTGAAAAGTAAAAAAATAGGGTCTCAAGATAAAATCGGGGTTTGGCTGAGATCTTAGAAACGGGGTTTGTTAAGAGCTGTAATTTTAGAATGCTCTTTTTCACTCCCCACTTTCAAGAGACATTCCTTAGGAATTTGATGGTCACATCTAAGTGTTCTCTGAGTAGATTCACTGGGTTGCCTTGTTAGGCCCGGAGGCTCCTCTTCAGGGTGGGCTGTTTGTTTGGATTCAGTTACTGGCTGCCTTCAAAGAAGCCCCTCTCCTTCTCCAAGGTCTTGGTTGTGTTACATTGTGGACAGCTGTTTGGTGTTTACAAGCCTTCCTCAAATGCGGTTGCAGTCACTTTTAGTAGCTGTTCTGTTCAGTGAGCTTTTGTTTGAGAACACTTTCAGCAATGGATACAGCAAGGACAAATTAAAAGGAATACTTTGACAGACGAAGGTTCTAACTAAAGCGCTGAGTTAAAGTCCTTTGGGTAGGTGGTCCCTTTAAAGTACTTACTGTGCCGCTGAGAAGTCACCATTCAGGTGTTTAACTAGCACTTAGTTAAATTTCTAGTAGTTATCTAACCAGCAGTTTGTTAAATTGGTCATGGTGGCTACTGTTTTTTTTAGCAATTTTGACAAAGACATTATTATTATTATTTTATCTTTTAAAACTATGTTTAAATGGTCTAAAGTGACTTTAGGTACCTTTTATTAAGGGTAAATACTATTAACAAATCCTAGTTGATAAGCCTATTTTGAATGGTGGGGAGTTAAGAGAAAATGATCTACTAAGGAATATGATTGTTGAAGTCATTTGAATTAGTTTGAATTATTGAACGCACCATCCACTTTCTCATCTTGCTCTGACACAGAGTGGCACACATTTGGAAGATGCTAACATCATACAGGACCCTGTGATGCATGGCTGGGTCTGCTTGGAGATCCGGGGAGAACAGAGTAGCCTATGTTCCCAGCTGCACATCTTAACCAACGTGAGGCTCACCAGTGGCACAGCTCAGATGTAGTTGAGCCACAGCCTGCAAAGAATTTCTAAACATCCAATAACCTTAGCCAGCTTTATGTAAGTTTTTGAAAGAGAGGATGGAGGTACCCAAGGGAATAAACCTACGCTGATTATAAAGCTATCCACAGAAAAGTGGAGTGACATGGGAAACGAAAACCCGGTGCTGGTGCTACTTACCCAGCCACAGCCCCGCCATGCCACAGAGACAGCCCCACGGCAGGGCTGCGAAGGAGGACCAGTGCTCCACCTTGGTGAAATACAGGACGACCGGGGTGAAGGAGATGAAGATTAAATTGAAGAACCCCAAGGTGGAGACAAAGTGAGCTGCTTCCCCAAAGTTGGCACTTCCGAGAAACATCTTAAACAAAACCTGAAATGCAAAATGAACTCTCTCAGCCACCTGCTGTTTACTGAAGGAGCCCTCAGGGCATAGTGAGTGGCCCACTTGACTTTGACTCCACCAGCCCCCCTGAGGCTTTCTGCCCGGCCCCCCCGCACCCAAAGATTTACAGCCTCGACAACTCAAAGGTGGCAGTTCTACTCCGTTTTCTAGGGTCACCGTGAGTCAGAAGACACTAGTCAATCTTAGTCATTTGAGCATTTATTCATTATCTTCCTTGCTGGATCAGAAAGTGAGATCCACTGATTTACAAAGTGAACTAACCTGTCAAGAGTTTATCCTCCGTTGCTTCTGATCCTGTCATCTATGGGGCATCAACATGCCCTATAAATAACTCTTATAGGAACGAGGAAATGCCGTAAGATGATTCCTTATGGTGTTGAACATGACTGGGACATTGTACACTTTGTTCAGTCCCACCATTGGGCATGCCTACAGGGTGATTGAGCAGTAGGTGTGCAGACAGGCCATGACAAATATTTGGGGCTTGAAATATCATCAGTTCCACCCTTGAAGATTGGAATTAATCCCACCCCAATTTTGACTGATACTAAAAACAAAATTGGACAAAGAGAGTCTGCCATTATGCTGTTGAGATGAATCATAAGATTGTTCTGGATTTATGTGTACTTTTCTTTCTGAACTTAAGTTTTTTTTTGGTGGTAATATTGTACTTATTTACTGGATTTTTAAAAATCTCCCTCTGGATTATAAACCTTTGTGAAATAGATGAAGGCAAGGAGAGGTAATGGCTGCCCTGAGCTTATAGAACAGGCTCAAAGAGAGAGTCAGGTCTATGGTCCATGGTTCTCATCTTCTTAACTCCTCTGCTTCCTGTACAAATCCCATAGCATACCAGACAGAATGGCTCAGAGCTTTCCCACCTGGAATTACAGCACAGATACGACTTTGTGCATTTTAGCAATATAATACTTCCAGAAGGAAGGCATTCTGTAACGTAATCAGGAAAATTTCTCCTGATCATGTAGAAATTCCAGACCTTTTACTTTCAATGGAACTTATCTTTTTTCTCTCTCACTTGAGAGACTTAATCATGCGAATTCAAGCATGGACTGGTCTGTGGTCAAATCAGACATCTCAGTGGAAGTCCCAGCTGGGGGCAAGTTAGACAGTAATGGCGGTCCGGTGAGCACTTGTCAAGTTTGTCACCCGGAGTCAATGGGCCAGGAACTGCCAGTATGGAAATCGGCTTCATGTCCTCTGTGCCGCAGTTTGAGTAATAAGAGCAAGTACCCAGGAGGGATGCAAAGGGCCTTTTCAGAGAGTATTTTCTCATTGAAACACCAAGTCCTTTAGATCTATCCGGTGAGCTGGCTCTTAAAAGCAGAGCTTTGAGGAATAACCTTTTAGATCTGCTCTCTCAGGCTTCACTTCGGGAGACAGGTGCAATGACTCTGAGTTGAATTTTCACTGATGACAGGGAGCTCCAGGAGAGAACGAATGAGGAGTACACACAGCAGGCCCGGTGCATCCATCACGGAGGAAAAGAGGCTCTTCATTTTGCTAAACACAAGGATTTCTGTGCTACATGGTTCAGCGACAGCCAATAATAAGTTCTCCATTGACAGCTTGTTGATGAGTTCTACTATCTCTAGGCATTAAAATAATGACCATAGATAGTTACATTAAAGAGACATAAGGAAATACCACACACTACCCAGCCAAGGAGAGGTCTAACTCAGTCCTCTGCCCTGTCACTGCTGGATAAGTGAGGCCAGAAAGGGTCAAGGGAGAATAGAGCATGGGCAGTGGACTTGGCCTTTCTAGAGTTTAAATCTTGGCTCTGTCACTTCCTGGCTGTATGCCCTTGGGCAAGTTACTGAATCTCCCAAATTCTCAGTTTCTTCACCTGGAGATTGGGGATAAGAACCTGTGCCTAATAAGCTTGAGTGAACACAGGTGACATTTTCCGGCAAGTTCCCAGTATCTAGCAAGTCCTTCATACCTGTTACTGGCTTATGGGGTATGTGTGCTTGGCTGCTAACCGAATGATGTTGCTTCATGGGAGACAGATGAGGCTTCCGGATCCCATAAAGATCTGAAGTCTCAGAAAACTCACAGGAGGAGTTCTACTCTGTCCAATGGGGTCGATATGAGTCAGAATTGACTGGGTGGCAGTGAGCTTTGAGTTATATTTTTTCCCCAGGTGGCACTGGCAGGTTGCTAACCTGACTGCTAACTACCAAGCTTGGTGATTCAAACCCACCAGCAGCTCTGTGGGAGAAGGCTGAAACTCTCTGCTCCCACAGAGCTGACCACCTGGAAAACCCTACATAGCTCAGGGCTGCAATGAGTTGGAATCAACTCCAGAGGACTGGGCGGATTGTTGCCTAGGTGGCCCTAGTGGATCCTCAACGGGCTGCTCACCACAAAGTTAGCGGTCAGAAAACCAACAGCAGATACTCAGGGAAAACACGGGGCTTTCTGGTCTTGTAAGAGGTAGAGGCTCAGAAACTCACAGGGGTCATTCCACCCTGTCCTACAGGGTCATTATGAGTTGGAATTGGCTGAGAACCAAGGCTGTCTTTGGCGTTTTCTGGCTTAAGTCTCCCCTCGGGATGACAGTGGACAACAACCTACCTTATATAATGCAGACGTTGAGGCAGAGCCCACTGCAAACGCCACTCCTATGATGGAATCTGCATGGAAATTATCTGCATATGCCATCATGACGATGCCGGTGATTGCCATTATTGCAGCAACTATCTGTCGAATGGAACGCAGCAGAATAGAGGGAGAGAAAGAAAAACATATTGGTGCCTCTATTCCAGAGCAAGCAGTTCAAGACTTCATGAGAGCTGCTGGGTGCCTCCTCACACCTAATTACCTCCTGCACATAGATGCGCAAAAGCAGGAAAGCCCAGGACTCAAGACATCGGAGGATCTCACCCAATCACAGAATATGAGAACTGCTCACATTCACATTAAAGGGATGGTCAGGGTTAGTTTCACGTATTTCCAAATCCTACCGATGAAGGTCGTCATGGGACCTCGCGTCTAAGTCCTTTCCTCTCTGCTGTGTTCTCTGGCTTCACGTCACTCAGGAAACATTTTGATCTGCTTCTTGGGGCAATGCACATACCTGAAGATCTCCACAGTACCAGAACTGGATTTGAGGGGCATCCTGTTGATGCAGCTAAGATAAGGCGACCAGATTTTAACATTGGTAAAGCGGGACAAAGCGGGACACCATTGATCAAACTCATATCCTGGCGAAAGAGCCACAAAAAATTGGGACTTTTTAAAAATGTCGCAGGACATGAGAAAATTGTTAAAAATCGGGACTGTCCTGCCAAAAGCGGGAAGTCTGGTCACCTGAAGCTAAGAGGCCAAATGTAGGCCAAGGAGAAAAAGAAAGCAAATGGTCTCTCAGTGATTTATGCGGAGCAAGCCGCAGACTCTGCACTGTTGCTTTGAATGTCAAGTGGAGGCCAGTTCTTCCTTTTGCTTACATGCGAATTAATTCCCCCTTTTTTTCTTCTTGATAAACTACAGAAAGGTAATTTTAATTAGAGCATTAATTGTATAAAGTTCAATTGAAGTCATCACGGTTTACTGTAAAAGGATATAAACAACAACAACAACAAATGAAACGAAACCCAGTCATGGGGACCCTACATGGGTTTCCAAGACTATAAGTCTTTAGGGGAGCAGCCTCATCTTCCTCCTGACCTATGAGGTGCCTGGTGGATTTCACCTCTGACTTTGAGATCAAGAATCCAATGCCTAGCCCACAGCACTAACGAACTACAAAATCAAGCTAATTGCCACCGAGTCAATTTTAACGTACATGACCCCGCAGAACTGCCCCTGTGGGCTTCTGAGGCCTGTCAATCTTGAAAGCCCCATCGTTCTCCCCCGAGTGGCTGGTGAGTTTGAACCACTGTCAATGTTGTGCCTAGCAGCTGGCACGTC